GAAGCAGTGGACTACAAATACTTTGTTACTGCACTTAAGTACATTTTTCTGGTATCAGTACTTTACTCAACTATTTATTTTTCTGAGGACTTTTTACTTTCTACTTCTTACATTTTGAAAACCTGTACTTTCTACTTCTTACATGTTGAACACAAATACCTGTACTTTCTACTTCTTACATGTTGAACACAAATACCTGTACTTTCTACTTCTTACATGTTGAACACAAATACCTGTACTTTCTACTTCTTACATGTTGAACACAAATACCTGTACTTTCTACTTCTTACATGTTGAACACAAATACCTGTACTTTCTACTTCTTACATGTTGAACACAAATACCTGTACTTTCTACTTCTTACATGTTGAACACAAATACCTGTACTTTCTACTTCTTACATGTTGAACACAAATACCTGTACTTTCTACTTCTTACATGTTGAACACAAATACCTGTACTTTCTACTTCTCACATTTTCCAATCAGGCTGGTTCCTTTAGTCTGAATGTGTGTTTGGAGGCGTGATCATTATTATTTAGAGTCATTGCGTGCCTATTGATTTGAACACGATCCGTGTATCCATCATTTCCTGGTCTTCTCTAAAGAAGAGGGACCAATGAAAACGTTGTCATGTTGCCGTTGTTCAGCATGGAAACATTCATTAGCTAACAATGACATTATTGTTCTATTAATATAAAGGGAGGTCAGGTACTCTTTAGAACAGCTGCTAGTTATGGGTACTTACATTTCGAAGCCCATACTTCCTTACTTTTACTTAGATATGAGTATCTGTACTTCTACTTGAGTAAAGGATGTGTGTACTTTTGCCATCTCTGGAAAACGCACACAGATCTGGTAAACCAATGAGGATTAAAAGCGTTTCTCTGCCTCCAGCCTTTTATGAGCTCACCTAGCTACATATCCTCTTCTGTGACCACAGGGCGCCTCTTCATTACTGCGTCAGTGATGGAACAAAGGGCTGCACTGTGCCCACTCACACCACATGTGTTTGCACTTATGATCGGTGCTCTTTGAAGTGTGTTAGTGCGTTTGATGATCACCTAGGGTCGATAATTTAAGGGCTCTTTTTATTTGCTCCTCATCCCTGTTTCTTCCTCTCCTCTCGCAGGGGCGTGGGCTGCATCATGTTCGAGATGGCAACAGGTCGTCCAATGTTTCCTGGGGCCACGGTGAAGGAGGAGCTACACTTAATCTTTAGGCTTGTGGGTAAGAAAGCACAGGCTAAGATTGAGTAATATGTGCAATGAGAAGAAGTGATGTAAGCATGCAACCTTACATGTCTTTGTTTCTTTGTCTTTCAGGCACTCCAACCGAAGAGACTTGGCCTGGTATCAGTAGTAATGAGGAGTTTAGGTCTTACCTGTTTCCTCAATACAGACCTCAAGCTCTCATCAACCATGTGCCCAGGTAACAATAACTGTTACTGCTCAGATGAGAAGAAGTGAATCTACAATGTCTACTTTGTCTACAGTCATGCTTGCAGCTTTAGGAGCGGCTGTGTTCACTACTTTAGCTTTGCTTTTAGAACGCTAACAGATGCTAACTGAAGCCACTTTTGTTATAAACTGAATAATCAAATGGTTAATCTGATGTCAACAAGGAAAGGTATAGAGAGGTGCACGGATGACTTATTTTGTTTGCCGATCCGGAAGTTGGCATCACAAGGGCTCACTCGTCAAAAAGCGAATATGATTTTTCCATTGGATCTGGTATTGCAGAAAATGAGCTCTGTGGTAAACACTTTTGTTCAGCAGGATTGTCTCCACACATTAACCCCAGTATGTGATTTTCAAAGCGGAAATGCAATCGCCAGAAGTGAAAAGCTTACGTTATGATATAAGCCAACTACAAGATGGTTGTGCATCACTGACGCTAAGCTAACGGTTGCTAATGTTCAGCTTGATGACGCTAAGTAGTCTCATTTAGCCCCTTGTTATCATCCGCCTTTTTTAAGAAACAAAGAAGCTTAAAAAAGTGGGGTATTTACTGCCTTTTACGTCGTAGAAAAAATCCACCCTTTATAAGAAAATTGTATTAAAAAAAGCAAGTTATCTGTCCATCTTTTAGCTTACTAATAAAATATATTATTGCTTTGAAAAATATAGACCTTTTGGGGGATCATTTGTGGGAAAAACAAACAATTGAAGCTAATGTCTACTTTCCTAATCAGCATGTAGTTGTTCCCTTAATAGTCACAATACAGACTGATTGTATTTGTTTCTCTCCATCAGGTTGGACACAGAAGGGATCGACATGCTGACTGCTCTGCTGCTGGTATGAGACAAAGAAAAAGGACTGTGACTCACCTGAATGTGAGAAGAAGTGGACTGTGATTAATGTGCGGCTTTTATTCTGTGATTGCAGTACGACAACAGGAGCAGAGTCTCTGCTGAAGCCTCTCCACGATACCCCTACTTCACCAGTCTGGGAAATAATATACATAATTTGGCAGACAGTAAGCACACACACACACACACACACACACACACACACACACACACACACACACACACACACACACACACACTTTGAGTTGTGTGGTTGTGAACATGCAGTATGACTGAATTTCTTCTGAAAAGAGCCACTTTGCCTTCTTAGCGGTGGCCTTTCCAAAAGTGCACATGAACTGCACATTGCTAACAAAGAATAAAGGTCAGAAAAGACGTGACAAAACACATTGTTAGTTTTAAGAGCTTTGGGTTTAAATTCATTGAAGTGCTAACCAGAATTTCTTAACCAGAAAACTTGCATGTGGCTAACATATCTGCCTTTTGTCAATGTCTTTTATTATTCCCACATAACCCTGTTAGCTAAACTCCATGCCATTGTTTTCAAGTCAAGTGCTGAGATCACCAGAACTCTTATATCATTTTGAAACCTTGCATTTGGCTAAAGTATCTGCCTTATTTAGTTGTTTGTCTATGTCTTTTATTATAAGGATATAGCCTGTTAGCTAAACTCTACGTCAATGTTGTCAACCTCTGTTTTATCGCTCTTAAGCAATCCTGAAACATAACTAATTGTCATGCTTCTAAGTCATCCTCTGTCCCTTTTTGTGTTTAGCTGCTTCAGTGTTTTCCCTCAAAGAGCTCCAGCTCCAGAAGGACCCAGGCCACCGCAGCTCAGTGTTTCAGCCTTTAGGTAAGATCCTGCTGCAAACACTATTTATTACCAGAAGTTAGTATCTCTAAAGCAGTGGCACCAGGCCTCAGATGATTTGAGGCCAAATATCATATTTAGACTTTTTTTTTTTTTTACATATAATTGTAAGGCAATACATGATTGTCACTAAAAGCCTTGTCTCTACATTACAATAAAATATAAAAAATAATTGGCTAATTAATTTTAATAAAAATTCAAGTTAGTAGCTATTAAAGGCATAAAAAGACAGAAATGTATAATTCTTTATTTAATAGAAATGTTTCTTCTGCCCGTAAAGTGTCCAAACCAGGCTTTTCTGGAGAAGCGCATTTTTAAAACATTAGGCGCTTTCACACCGCAGTACTTTTCCCACAAAGGTTCATGAGAACTTAGTTCATCAGAACTCTTTAGTTCTGATGAACTAAGTACAGATCGCGTTCACACCGGAATAAGTCCCTGGGGGTGGATTAGGAAATGAATTGAACA